CTACCACTTCAAGAACGTCATCGCTTCCTCGTCAGAAGCATGTATATATTATTAAACAGTTTCTCAACAGTTCATTATCTTCTTTCGCTGTGCAGGAAATAGCTCGATTAATAACAGCGTACAAGATCCTCTTTTTTTACTGGAAGGGCGTACTTTGATTAAATGATAATCTTTTCTCACATTGGTTAAACCGAGTTTCGTTGAGGCGGTAATGGTTTACATTTCGGTGCAAAACAGAGAGACAGAGAGAGAAGGTTTACAGGTCCTCGTCTTCGCCTCAATTTCCTGGACATTGATCGATTGGCGGAAAGCTTGCAAACTCTTTTGATCTTAATTTCAGAAAATATAATTTTCGTTTATTCAAGAACCTGAAAGATGTATATATGTGCGCGACGTTTTGCAGACGTAACGAAAGAATATAGTTTCAGCAACTTGTTATTCTACAGAATGCAGCTTATGTTATGAAGGCGTCAAGATACAAGGTGACTAACCTTTATTATAAAGTACTATCCCACTATAGAGTCTTGAACGTGCTAAGATGCGTATGAAGGGATGTGTTGTTGTGGTAGTAGGGGCTCCGTAATGTCCTGAAGAAATCGTCAATAAAGGGAATTGTATCACATTACGAATAAAGAAACTGATTTTATCACAGTTCCTACTTAGCTTACGTCTTATAGTGGACTCACTCAAACCGATTCATTCATCGTGCATTCAGTCCATACGTGTGGCTAAAATGCGAAAAATAATTAAATCTGAACCCTCAAAATTACTGAATATCTAACTAGTCACTGATTTTGTTTAAGAAATTTATTTAATAACATGTAAACAAGCTTTTAAAAAACCTGTGAAGTTTTAAATAAATATTCCTCATTTATAATTTTGCTGCCCACTAATCGCTAAGCAAGCACGGGTATGGCCGAATGTCTGGGAACGGTTGAGAACACCTGCGGATTCTTTGTCTTGGACACAATAACAAAATTAATTTTATGTAACTAATCAACGAGTAAGAATGCTTGAAACCTGTCTCTACGCATTTGATACAAAGAGCGTCCAGTTATCTGCGGTCCAAGCTCCGTAATCCAGACGAATTTATCGCCCTGAGACGGTCAAACGACAAATGTCCACCCGATATCTGCTCCTGATATAAGAGCCAATGTTCGTCACACTTGACTGGACCAGTGTACCGTTCGTGAGATAAAGTTCTGACGGCGGAGACCCTGTTAGCAAGAAATGCAAAAGAGCCTATGGTTGGGTTTGGCGGAAGTCTGGAGTCAGGTTGTCGATTTTGATCTGGTGCGTGGGATACAAACCTAGCTTCAGTCGCCGGGAACATATTTTCGCATTTAATTTAATTTATAAAAGATTATAAAGTTGTACTCGTTCTTTCAATGCGATCTTAAAAGATAATGCTGCAATAAACTGTTTTTCTGGACAACACAAACGAGGTTCACTGTAGTCAACTTTGACGGGAAATGCACTAAGCTAGTCCATTTAATAGTTGAGTGTAATGTTGGTGCTTGTGTAAGATGTTAAACATTCTATTACCTTGTACTACGAATCAATACCAGAGACATAAAGCATGCAGACTTTGCCGTGGCAAACGTGACTTTTGAGATGTTGCAAAGGCATTAACCATATAACATTGATTTTATTTCAATGTATTTTGTTTTCTGATGCAAGAAATTTGACCATTCGGTGAATGAGGCGAAGGCTGTGTTTTTGGAAAGCTAAGCGCTGCTACGTTCTCACTGTCAGGCACAAGGCAAATATCACGTAGCCACCAAACTAAATGAATGGGTCACGCACGGAACATTGATTGCTCTTTCACGTAAGTGACAACACACCCTGGAAGCAAAATTGACAGACACAGCACGTGTGACAGCCACTGGAGCTGAAAGCCGCGGCCAATGTGGAACAGTCGGGAAAATTCGATGACTAGTATTAACAGACAGACGAAGAAGGAAAGAGAGAGATGGATGAAAACGAAGGAAAACAAAGAAAAGAACAGGACAAGTTATAAACAGAAAGAAAATCAACAAAGAATATCTATTCGTAAAATATAAATAGCTGATGCAGTCAAAGGAGAATGAAATTTTCAGGGCATGTAGAAACATGATGAGAAATGCATACGAAGTTTTGGTCGGAAAGTTATTTGGGATATATAGGTCTGTATAAGGAAACAAATACGAAATTGTCTCTTAAAAAATAGGATGGGAGGTTGTGGCTGGGTTTGTCTGATTCTGAACAAGGGTTAGTTGGCAAGTTCTTCGAAATACGGAAATATTCCTTGGGGTCATGTAAACGGCGGGTAATTTCTTAAATGGCAGAGCCGCCATTAACTTCTCAAGAACGGCTGTGCTCTATGGAGTTTGATGAAAGAAGGGAAGAAACGGGAGAAAGAAGGGGACAGAAAGGAGATAAAAATAAATATATTGTACTAAACACAGAGAAAGAAACAGAAAATGAATAAAAAATAAATATGCATAGAACAAAGAAAACAATAAGAAATAGATGAAGGAAAAATTAAAGGGAAAATAAGAAGAACGACAGACAGATAAAAGGCAGAAAGAAGGAAAAGGCGAAAAGGCAAGAAGATGGGAAATAGGAGAAGATAATAAGACGAAGGAAAATCAAACGAAAAATAATAAAACAAAACAAATAGACAATTTTCCGAAGCTTGGGTGTTGTATTATCTAAGTACGCGATTTCAGACGTTCAGATTGTCCCTAAAAAGATTTGTAGACAAAACGAGTCACACGCGTATTTTAATAACATTACTACCTGTCGGAAATGCCCATCTGAGACAAATTAAATCTATTGGCAGATAAAATACTTTATCTTAGTTTTCACGCCATTGCATCTCTTCACACATTACGTAACTCGTATGTGACCCGTTCCCAATTTGACGAAGATATTTATCATCTTCATAGCTGATTACACTGTTTGCTCTTATTTCTGAAGGCTGTATAAAAATGTTGAAACCTCATTATTTCTGACTAAGGAGATTAAATAACCTACTAATCCAAATATAACATCTGATAATACAACTAATAATTTATTAGAAGATATGAACGCAAAGGTACTTTTACGAAACTGCAAAAATAATGATTTGGAAGAAATGCAAACTGAGCTGTATGTATGAGAATGCCACAAAAGCGGACGTCATTTAAATATTTCATAACTTGGCGTTACCTAATAAATTATTCGATTAATAAAATATCCTGGGGCTATCAGCCGTGCCAGATGTTTTAACCTCGACGTTTCAGGGACCATTTCCGTCCCCTCCCCTGAAAAGTCGAGTTTTAATGAAGTGGCATGACTGATAGCCCGAGAATATTTCATTGATATTTATCGCCGTGAAAGCTTCAGATCATATATTATATGAATGTCACATGTGAATACCTTGGAACAGCTATAAATATATGCCAACAAATGAGATTATCGATGAATTAAGGGAATAAATCCAATAATTTCTGTTTTTTTAAGTGTTCCTGGATTGGAAGACGGTAGAGAATATTCCTTCCGAGGATTGAGGAGATGTGGCATGACATGTGTTGCACTTAACAGATGTAAAATTTTCAGAAAAACAATCCATATTAAAAATATAAAGTCTTATATGAATGAAAGCAAAATACTGTTATATATCTCTCTCTCTCTCTCTCTCACACACACACACACACACACACACAAACGGAAAACTGAATTTGGAGACTTACGCCAAGAATGACACTTCATTTTAAAATCGAGTTCAGAAGATCGTAAAA